GATAAATATAAAAATCGTTCAAGAATAAACTACTTTTTGCTCATCATTCAAATATAATAGCTATGAAGAACTTTATTTAGTAATTTTTATTTAATGACGTTATTTTAATGTATGTACAACGAAAATGTTTCCCAACTTATTAATAAATAATATTTGTTTCTTAGTTTGTACTTAGCAATTCACACACTTAAGGAGAACCACACTTAATTAAGAAAATGGTTATTATAAGTTTAGAATTATTCAAACACACCTCCACCATAGTTCACGCACTTTTCAATTCGATAAATAAGTTCTTGGAAACTTCTAATTTCCTGTAAAGTTACTGTCCATTTCCATCAAATTAGGCCGATTCATACACAAATTGAAATTATAATATAAATTTCAATTCTAAGGAACTTTCCTTAATAACATATTTCTCTATCCCAACCCCATTTTTTGACTAGCAAAAAAGTTAATCAAAGATGCCTTTTCCTCGTAGAAAGAAAAAATAAGAATATTTTCTCTCTTTTCCACTCTAACCGTGCAATACTGTATATTACTTTGAAGTCGCAAGAAAATTTCCTAAATCTTTCTCAGTTATCAGAATCAGAATATTAAGTGACTGATCTTCTACATACCTTATATATTATAGAACTTCAACAATAATAGAGTGTAGTTTGACTTTTGTTGCTCTTTCCACACATTTGTCTGTTTTATTACTTTATTGTATACAAATATTTTATGTACCTACTTTATACGCCTACTTTAATTTATCTCACTAACATATGTTTTTTCAAAATATATTAAATCAACCATTGCCATGAAAATCGATTTTTTTACTGTTAAACCCTTTTTGGATAATTTTCGTAACCCCCCACTAGAAAAGCTATAGTGTGCAAAACGGCGCCCGATAGTCACAACGCATACACACTTGGGAACTGCGGTATGTATTGTTGTTTCATAATTTAAATTTTATTAAAAGTCATTGTATACAGGTATTTTATATACTTTATATGCTTTCTTCAATTTATCTCTCTAACGAACGTATCTTTTAGCAATAAGTTTATATTAAATCAACAATTACTATGTTATTGGATTACCTATTTAATTTTTAATTTAAGAAAGAGTTTTCTGAAATAATAGCATAAATTAACCAGGTATTACAAGGATGTTTTAAAACCGCCAGACGAATAAAAGTTAACAGCTTCACATTGCATAAAATATCAGTTGCCAAGCATTAATCTCTTATCTAATATTAACAACTTTGATGAAGTCCTGAAACAAAACCTTCAATTAAAAAGTCGTTAACTTAATCCAAACCACAAGCAAAATGCAGGCTAAAATATATTTCCAATTTTAATATCAATTAATTTGATAAAGATCTTAAACTTCTTATAAAATTTTCGTATAAGCCACAATCTGCTTGAAATTTTAATCAACATTGTGTCTACATACATAGTGTCTATAATTTTTCTTCACTAATAGTGCTTAAATAAGTATAGATTGCATGAACTGATAAGACGGCATAACGGTCCATGCCTATGATATACGGCGATGATCAAAACATCGGCACGTTTAAGGTGTTTTGAGACATGCAACAGAAAACATTTCTTGAATGAACTGCATCAACTAAAAAGACGATGATATATATCGCTGTTTTATTGCATCTCAAACCCCATCACGCCATATTGTGTTACTGTGTTCATGTTTATAAGTACATTTAAATTATTCGCCGAAGAAACGTGATATTATAGGAAGTACTAACTCCATAAATCCGTAAAATATAGTAAATTACAATTTGCCACTCATGCAACACTCATTATTTGTATTAAAATGAAAATCGTTCACTCTTACTCCTTCCAGTCATGATTTTCTACACTAGGAGTGAATTGAGTCTATTTTAAAGAAGCTGTAAAGGTTTTAGTGAAAGAAGAATATGTCGAATCCAAGTAACAATTATTTTATAAACACAAGGGGTAGAATTTTTATAAATTTTTTAATATATTTTCAAGAGCATGAAGTTCTACACTTCTTGAAAATTATTTATTGAAAATTGGACACACGCATTAAATTAGGACCACTTTAAAATATAACCTAATTGTATTCAGTTTTAAATTGGAACAAATTACTAATTTTCAGAGCTCAAATTTGAATAAAACGATACTATGAAGGTATTAGATGAAAATATGTTAGTCTTGGGTGTAACTATCAAAAATGGGACAATTGTCTTTGTTTAAAATCATTATTTTTCCGAATACACCTAGTTATTTTCTAAAAAATCATTAGTTTATATGGTGCCTAAAAATAACAAGTCTGTAACAATGGGAAAATAGATACCTATCATTAACAAATTATACAAAAGCTTTTAGAATTTTTCAGTGTCAAATACATAAATAAATTTAATCTCTTACGATTTGTCATCAGATACTTGAAAAAATTTGCCATTGAATTCAACAGTCATAGAAAGAAAAGTGGTAAATAACACAAAAATGTACTAATTCAATAAAACTCCAAAGAAGTTTGAAAATGTTCAAATTATTGTTTAATGTATATTTTCTTCTAATTTATTTCTACAGATTTGCTCCTTCACAATCACTGCTTCGGAAATTAGATATTTTGAAGAAATCATACCTTTCTATTTTAAAATAACAGATATAAATAGTTTCTTCACCTGATGGTTAGGTTAATTTTCTTTCAAGGTCCATGTAGTTTCTTGTAGTGCATATTTTATTACGTTTTTTTTTCTAAATTCAAACTAAGAGAAACGAATCTCACCTTTCCTTTTATTTTCGAAACTACCCGATTAACATATTTATAGAATATAAGAAAAAATCACTAATACGACCATTGGTCTATAAAAATAATTGTTTTAAGCCTTGTAATCATGCCCGAATATTGTAGTCTACTGCAACCATTTCATATTATTTACAATAAAAATTGAATTTTTAATGTTTCTAAAAAAATAACATCTACGACCTGGTACCCCACACTGTAAAAAAATCGTTGTGAGTGAAGGCAATAAAGGTACGGAGTAAATCCATTGAGTGAAATAATTAAGTACATTTTTACTCAATATTGAGCATTTTGAGAATTTTACTCATTTGTTAAAATATTAATTTTAGCCGTTAAATAAAGTCTCCAGATAAACTCGTATTTGGTACACTTGTACCTAAATCAGAGGAAATGTTCTCATTATTGAGTGACCCCCACCGCATTCTGTAGTTGTCGTGCGTTGCCTTTGTCCCATCGTCCCCATTAGGTTATCTCGTGGCGTGGTGTATAGCGTGTAGTGCTGGTGGACAAGTATCCGTGTATCCGGTTAGTTTGGTGACAAAATTGTGTTTAAATGGAGTTTGGTTACAATAATTAAAAACAATAATATATTGAGTCTCGACTAATATTTAATTAAATAAACGGATAGTTAAATTATTACCTATACCTACTTACGTATACATACAATATAGGTTATGGTAATCTATTCTTCCGATCAGTTAATCAATTCTTTTAATCGAGACTTAAAATATTGTCTATAAAACAGATCTGTGTAGAAACCACTGTGGCAACTTAGTAGTTTATGACTTTAATACAATTATATTTAAATTAAAATTTAAATAAAGAGAATATAAACCAAGTCTGAGTAAAAAATTACTCAATAACGGTTAAATTTACAGAAAATGTCAACATTTAATTGGTTTTACATACTCATAGAATACAGGGTGTCCGACGGTGGCGAGACATTAGACATATTTCAGAGACTATTTCGATTTTAATTTTGATTTGAGTCATAGTGTTTTCGGGCATGCCCTTCTCAACTAAAATAATGGCGTCCATCTAACGCTTCCGGTTATACCGGAAGTTGGCGTCGTCTTCATTATTTTAAATGGAACCCCGTATATTATTGCAATTTTGGATTTTACGTCAATTTTTAGGTGAACTTTCGAAAAGGTTTCCTATTCTTAAAGTTAACCGTTTTTTAAATATTTAATTTTTTTCAAAAAAAAAAATTAAAAAAGCACTGCTGCAAGATGTGTATTTTACTATAATAACTGTAAACAATCTTAACTTATTTTTTTGAAATGTTCTCTTCTGGTTTTTAAGGTTTTTACTGTTTTTCGTGCAGTCAACGGATATAGCATAATTTCTTGCGAGGATGGCTGTGAAATTTTTAGTGGAACTGGGAAAACAAGCACCTAATCTGTCACCAGTTTATTGTTGTCAAATTAACACATACAGTGAATGTTTATTTGAGTATTATTTATTATTAAAAAATAGAAAACGTTAACGTTCAGATGCTGACATTCTAAATTTATTGTTTATTCATGGAGAGTATCAAATGTCAGCCACTTGATAGTTAGCAGACACTCGGATTTGAGTAAAAATTCACTCACTTCTATTGCAATGGCTTCACTCATAAAATTTTATTTGTACTCATACTAATAGAGTGAATATTCCACTCAATCCGGTGTGGACAGAAATTTATACATTGTTGAGTAAAATTGAGTGAATTCTTTTTACAGTGCACTTTGTATACAGCAATAACTTTTTATAAAGAAATTTTGGTTTGCATCTAAAAAGATGAAGATATTATTTGTTTAAAATCGTGTGAGAGGCACTTTTTATCTATCTTCTGGGGAAATACAAGAAATTCTTCACACATTTCGAAATTATTCCACTCTGTACAATGTTCATCATTACATCTATAAATCAGCATAACCTAAATTTAAGAACAGTGTTTCTAAATTGTCAGACACTAGCTTTGATCCGAATCACGTGCGCAAAAAACAATAAAAAATTCTTATGAATATAAAATATAAGATCCTTCCTTTCCAGGATACGTGATGTGTTTATATGACCAGTCACTTTCGCTTTCATAAATAGCTTTCCTGTGTAAAACACATTTTGAAGGAAGACAACCCTTATAACAGAAATAATATACATTTATTTTTTTAGATACTTGGCTATCGTGTATCCACTACATCCAAGAATGTCGAAGACGTCGTCTCTCATCACGATCACTTTGATATGGACAGCTAGTATGATATTTGCCATCCCTTGTCTGCTGTATTCAACAACCATTACTAACAGGTGAGTGAGGATCACTTTTCTAGAAAATTCGATTCTGAACATACCGGATGTCTACTACTAGCTATACTAAATTTTCGTGAACTTTCTTATCAGTTAATTTAATACCAACGGCACCGGGACATTATTGATACCTAAACATTTTTAGAAGATTAAAATAACTTCACAATATTTGACTTTACACTGTAAAAAAACCGATACGGTGTGAATCTACTGAGTGAAATGATTTAGATACATGTGTACTCAGTTTTGTCAGTTTTGAGCATTTTGATAATTTTACTCATTTGTAACAATATTTGAAATAAAACTTAGTATTTTCATTCAAAATAAAGGTACCCGTTAAATAAATTCTTCAGATAAACTCGTACACTTGTACCTAAATCGGAGTAAATATCCTCATTGACTCCACCCTATTCTATGGTTGTCGTGCGTTGTCTTTGTTTGTTCCCATCGTTCCCATAAGGCATCTCATGGCGTGGTGTATGGCATGTAGTGGTCAACAAGTGTCAGTTAATCCGGTTATTTTGGTGACCATTGTGTTTAAATGCAGTAGTTTGATTACAATAATTAAAAACAATAATATATTGAGTCTCGATTAATATTTGATTAAATAAACGTATAGTTAAATTGTTACCTACCTTACGTATATGTAACGTACAATATAGGTTATGACAATCTATTCGTCCGATCAGTTAACCAGTTATATTAATGAGACCTAAAGTATGGTCTGTGTGTAGAAACCACTGTGGCAGCTTAGTAGTTTATGACTTTAATCCAATGATATTTTAATTAAAATTTAAAGATAATATAAACCAAGTCTGAGTAAAAAATGACTCAATAATAGTTAAATTTAGAGAAAAAGTCAACTCATAATTGGTTTTACATACTCAAAATAGAGTCAAAAGTCACTCACTTGAGAGTTAGCAGAAACTCGGATTTGAGTAAAAAGTCACTCACTTCTGTTTCACTCATAAAATTTTAGCTGCACTGATACTAATCGAGTGAATATTTCACTCTATTGGGTGTGGACAGAAATTGATACATTATTGAGTAAAATTGAGAGAAATTGAGTGTATTTACAGCGTATATGCAGTAGTCTATGAGGCAGTAGTCCTTTTTTAAGTGAATGATACAGCAGCAACTAAAATAATAATAATTTGTGTTACCAGTTCATTTTAAATTAAATAGAAACTTTTATGTGTATACAAAAAATGGATTTTCAAGTCGAGATGAAATAGCTTTACTTATTTTGTTTCACTCGACTTTAACAAAATATGGTATGGCTGCTTGTTTTTAGTATTAATACGTTCTCATTTATTATACTGCATTAGTTCATCAAGAATAAGCATGAGTAAATCTCCAAAGGATAATAGGTACATATTTATCCCACGGCAAAAATCTTTGTATTATATTTTAACTTTGAGTAATGGTTATTAGATTATTAGACTTCAAACTTCGACTTCATCTTTACTGATTGTATTTTTTGCTTTTATAACAAAACTGATTTTGACATGAAAAATTGCAGTGAAANATTAGAAATATAAAAATAATATTTCATCAAATATATATTATAATTTTTTATTGACTCTTTGTGTGCCTATAGATTATAATAAGATGATAAACGCAGACAAAAATAGTATGATAAACCATAAAAAAGAAAGAAAATTTTAAAAAACTGGACAGAGGGACAGAAGTAATTAATTAAAAACAGATTATTATTATATAATATGTGCACGCCTATAAATTTCTTCGTGATACGAGGAGCTGCTTCATCTGCCTACGGAACGACAAAATACTTGGTGCTCCTTTTATATTGTTAGGGATTTTGTTAAAAATCTTCGCAGCGTTATACGAAAAAGAACCTTGAAATTGAGCAGATTTGTGTTCTGGAACCAAGTACAGGTGTCGGTATCGGGTGGAACGGTTGTGTACTTCACTGCCTTTTACTAGTTTATTGCACAGATAAACAGGAGAGTTAAATGTTTCAGTTTTATAAACTATGCAAGACAAATGTAGCTAATACCTTTCTTTTAAATATAACCATCTGGATTCCAAAAACTTATGAGTTATGTGATCAAATTTTGTTAAGCCAAAGCAATATCTGATGCAACTGTTCTGTATTTTCTGCAGGGTATATTTATCTGATTCTAATAGACAAGGCCAAAAAACACTATCACAGTAATGTAGTAGAGATAAAATTAGCGAATCACATAACTTTAGTAATATTAAGCAGTTTTAATTTCCCGTACGATTTTTGTACTAAATAGTACAAAGTATATATAAAATAGTATAAATTACATGCATTTGAAATCTTAAATTAACATCCAAATATACTCCAAGGTTTTTGCATTCTTCTTTGGGCTTAATTACTTCACCATTAACAGAAATTCGAAAGTCAGGATGCAGGGTTACTAGTTCCCTATTTTTTCCGAATACTAGCAATTCCGTTTTGGCTTCATTCAAAATANAACGCCCTATATGTCGAAAATTAAGCGTCTCTGAAAAAAAATTATACTTTATTTTTTTCTTATTTTTTTATGAGGAATATCTCCTTAAAGTTTGTCGACTTAATCCTGAAACACCCTGTATATCTGCCAGAATTCGATGTGGAGCATCATCATCCTCTCGAGAAACGCCATCCAATTTTTCACAGCGCTTTCTTTGGACGAATATTTCCTCCAACAATCCTTGTATGATTTTTTATTACTATTACCCGGTTTGCCATTCTCTTCAGCATGGAAATTCACACTTCGCTTCGGTTAGCTTTGCATGGAATTTGCTGGCAGCTTATTTGCGCCGTTTCTTTTCCGATATATTGCGAAATAATTTGATGTTTGCCGGGCTAAACGTATATTTGCGTGTTGCGCTGGATTCTTCTGGAAAATCGAGGAAATTCCATGAGAAACAGCGTCGGTACACATGTGGGATAATTTTCTTACGCGGATTGGAGAGAGCTGGCAAAGCGAATTGTTCTGGGGGCGTGGGTGCGATTTTTTACACCGCTGGTTTGAAACGGGAATAAAACTGAGGAAATATTAAAATCAGTGAAATAAAAAAAATTTACGAAAATAGGACGTGGGGTGTCTGCAGCTTTTGTCTCAGCTTGTAGTATATGATTACTTATGTCAATCACTTTTTTTTTTGCTGTTTAAAATGCTTATTGTGTTCTGAACGAAATATAGAAAAATTGTCGTTAAATATCTCAAATACATTCATATACAGTGTTTCTATGAAAAAATGTACCTTCTTGTCGCAAGAAATTGGTAAAATAAGTTATTTCGTGTTAGATTTTAAATCGACATTTTTAACGAAGTTTAATATTCTTACGTTCACTAAATTTAAATGGAAAATTTAATTGATGTTTCATTTTTAAAATAAATATCTCTTCAACTTTGTTTTTCGTAAAAAACCGCGCCTATTTAACAAAATGTCATATCACACAAATGAGAGTAAATTTGCCACACTCGCGCAAGCGCTCAGTGAGTAAAAGCAACAAAGATACGCAGTGAATTCATTGAGTGAAATTATTGAGTACATTTTCACTCAGTATTGAGCATTTTGATAATGTTACTCATTTGTAATAGTATTTGAATTAAAACTGAGTACTTTCGAGTGATTTGAGTCATATAGGTATTCGTTAAATAAATTCTTCAGATAAACTCGTATTTGGTGCACTTGTAGCTAAATCGGAGTAAATGTCCTCATTATTGAGCGACGCCACCCCATTCTATGGTTGTCGTGCGTTGTCTTTGTCTATTCCCATCGTCTCCATGTGTAGTGCTGGACAAGTGTCCGTCAATACGGTTATTATGGTGAAAATTATGTTTAAATGCAGTGGTTTGATTACAATAATTAAAAACAATAATATATTGAGTCTCGATTAATATTTGATTAAATAAACGTATAGTTAAATTGTTACCTACCTTACGTATATGTAACGTACAATATAGGTTATGACAATCTATTCGTCCGATCAGTTAACCAGTTATATTAATGAGACCTAAAGTATGGTCTGTGTGTAGAAACCACTGTGGCAGCTTAGTAGTTTATGACTTTAATACAAAGATATTTAAATTAAAATTTAAAGAGAATATAAACCAAGTCTGAGTAAAAAATGACTCAATAATAGTTAAATTTAGAGAAAAAGTCAACTCATAATTGGTTTTACATACTCAAAATAGAGTCAAAAGTCACTCACTTGAGAGTTAGCAGAAACTCGGATTTTAGTAAAAAGTCACTCACTTCTGTTGCAATAGTTTCACTCATAAAATTTTAGCTGCACTGATACTAATAGAGTGAATATTTCACTCTATTGAGTGTGGACAGAAATTGATACATTATTGAGTAAAATTGAGTGTTTTTACAGCGTATATCATCTTCTATGAGGCAGTAGTCTTTTTTGAAGATAATGATACAACAGCAACTAAAATAATAATAATTTGTGTTGCAGTTCATTTTGAATTAAATAGAAACTTATATATGTTTACAAAATATGGATTTTCAAGTCGAAATGAAATAGCCTTGTTTATTTTGTTTCACTCGACTTTAACAAAATATGGTATGGCTGCTTGTTTTTAGTATTAATACGTTCTCATTTATTATACTGCATTAGTTCATCAAGAATAAGCATGAGTAAATCTCCAAAGGATAATAGGTACATATTTATCCCACGGCAAAAATCTTTGTATTATATTTTAACTTTGAGTAATGGTTATTAGATTATTAGACTTCAAACTTCGACTTCATCTTTACTGATTGTATTTTTTGCTTTTATAACAAAACTGATTTTGACATGAAAAATTGCAGTGAAATAAGTATCGTTACCTTCGTTCTAATATGAAGTATCCCCCAAAATTTGACAATTTCACTTTTTTGAAAATAGAATAATAATGATGGCAAAAAAATTCAAGACATCTATTTTCCTGCAAAATGTTAGGCAAGGCCGAAAATAATAAAAATTTTAAAAAATCCGTTGGTGTTCTACATTTTATGACAAAAACGTC